CTTTACTAACAAAACAATTTTAGTCTACGCTGCTAAATTAATGTAGAAACAGACTTGAATTTTGAGAAGCACGTAATTTAAACATCCTGGTCTTGATAGATGACTTAATCAGACATCCTGCTTAGATGTTAATTACAACCAAGGAGGTATTTAGATATTATGCGAACGAAGAAGCTAAATTATGAACCAAAATATTTCTAGTATAAGGGATGAGAAAAAGTGTTATTTGGGTAAGTTATTAAGGCTTTAGACTGAAATTAAACCGCATTTCAACTGCAAACTATCGTGTAGTCCGATTGCAGTTCTATTGCAGTCATGACCAAATGGTTGCAAACCAAACGAGCCGTCCGATTGCATTTCTATAGCTGTCGTGTCAACTGCCTTCAAACTGCATCCGAACCACAATTTGCAGTTGAATTGTAGTTGAAGTATTTTACTAGTCTCTATCAATAAACGTCCTAAACACAATATCCTTCTTCTTCTTCCAAAGCGCTGCTGTCAGGTCTATGACAAACACACAAGATAATACGTATACCTATTTAAGACACTGCCTCACTGACCGAGTGGTCGCAAGTGCGACTGCCGGGCAATCTCGGGTTGGATTCCCGAGTCGGGCAAAATATTACTGGATTTTTTTTTTAATTCTCGCAGCAGCACAAAGTCTGGAATTGTGCCCGGTTACCGGTTACATAGGGGGTGCCCTATTATATGGGATTCACAACATAAATAGTGAAAAGTGAGTGTTACATTGTACAGTGGCATTAAATGCCGTGATGTGCACCTCTGCCTGCCTACCCCTTAGGGACAAAAAGGCTAAAAGATTAAAGTGATATTATGTTATGTTATGTATTGTGTATCTAAGAGACTATTCGCTTATTCTGCTCTTTTTTTCTTAGTACAAGCACACGGCTCTGTGGCTCTGAAAAAATCTGGTACTTAATTACCAGCTATCGAAACAAAATCCTGACTTTCGATTTAAAGTAAAAGATCTCGGCAAGAGGATTTATATTGATAGCAATCAATTAATGGTCTTTGAAATGTTCCCAACTTCACCCATTGAGTAGAACAGTTGTAACAAGAAAATGCTTCAAACAAAATGATTTATTTCGCTACTAGACAGAAATATTTCGATACGTGTGTTTCATAGCTTCACTTCTAGCTAGATATTATGTTGTTGTAAATTATGGGATTGCAGACACTTTATACTTCTTATCATAATTTTTTTCTTTCTGGCTGTTACCCAACTAGGTTGGCATCGATGGGAACTCTTAGACAAGCTCGATTATATGTACCTATGTCAATAGCACATTTAGAGCAATTGCCATCATCCTTCCATGACACAAGAGTGACTCTCCTTTGTTTATATCCAAAAATACCTAACTACAGAATTTTTTGTTTTCTGTCTACCTGAATCGACTGTCATAAATCTTCTTATCACTTACGTATTTTGATATGAAAGCATAATCTAATGACGTTAAATTGACGTCATGAAGGTATATTGTTTGTATTACCTAATATTAATCCTTTATCTCTAAAGTATTTGTTTTTATTGTATGTGTTGCAAAATATGTGAATGAGTAAACATTGACGTATGACGCAGGTACCTATATCCAAAGCTGGAAAAGTCCCGATACCATTTATGAATCAACCTGACTGATATAATTATTACATAAGTAGTATTTTATAACGCAGTTTTTACTTCATATTTAATTAAAAACCTTTAGACTGACTGCCG